GGTTCATGGTTCCCTACAGGAGCAGGAGACCAGCCACCTCCCTAGCACCTGGATGCGGGCCAGGCTCTATGCATGTGGCTGCCATCTGCCCTGTGAGGGCCCTGCTTGCATTTTTACAGTCTTTCCTGATCTTCACGGGCAATTACATTTGGCTTCAAAGCCGTCCATCTGGAAATATTAAATGTTAGCATATCCCAGGCACCTGGGAGGCTGAGACAGGAGGATTATAAGTTGAAGGCCAGCCTCAGCAACTTAGCAAGACCCTAAGCAACTTGAGGAGGCCCTGTCTTAAAATAAAAAAGATACAAAGGGCTGGGGATGTGGCTCAATGGTAAAGCACCCTGGGTTCAATCTCTAGCACACCCCCTGCTCCAAAAAAAAAAAAAAGGTTAGAATATATTGTGAAAGTATAATCCCTGTGACTCTTTTAATTAACTCTCTCCCAATCTGTGTCATTGGTGGTTTCTGGAATTTGGTTTGGGGAATTTTTTCTGGTAGCTTCTGACAGGTGGGCTGAATCCCCACCTTCCTCACTCCTGTCTGGGGCAGAGGTGCAGACATTTCTAGTTGGCGTCTCTGGATTTCCTAATTCCTTGCTGTTTTCTCTCTCTTCCCCTCCCTTCTACGCTTCTCTCCCACCTGCTCTGCTCTTGCACCAAGGGCCCTGCGCTCCCTCCGGCTCCTGCATTCTGAGACCATGTTCTGTATTCACTTTTCTAGATTTTTCACAATTTTTTGTGGAAATGGACGTTCTTCTTCTGTAGGTGATGAGCTGAGGCCTTTCCCCAGCAGTAGTGTAATGCCAGATTCCTGGGACCCCAGTAGACCTCCAGGAGCCGAATCCGATGCCATCACACAAGAGTCTTTATTGCAAGCTCGAGCCTGGACTCACAACCGTTCCCGACGCAGCGGTCCCAGGGAGTGAGTCCCGGTCCTTTGTTCAGTGAGATTTTATAGGTTTTGGGGGGATACTGTATGCGTCACAACATCACACAGCAAATCATTCCACACTGCGGGAAAGTCAAACAACATTGATTAGCTCATTCACTGGCGGGAACAAGTTGGGTAGGGGTGATTGGCTAGTACAAGAGGGGGTTCCTTTGAACTGATTGGTTTAGGCCACGAGGGGTGTTCGTGCTGAACGACCTGGTTTCCCAACATGTTATCAACCACCATAAACTACTGGGGGGTCATCTGGCTTCCCAGGTATTTCCCTGTCTCATGCTGATTAGAGGTTGCTAGGGGGCTGCTTTGGGTCTTCACCTAGCCTGACAGAGTCGGGGACACCTGGTGCCACAGACCTCTCCTGTTATGTGCAGACAAACAACTCAGCAGGGTGGGTGTGTGCTTAGGAGTACTCTGGGGGTTTTTCCCAAGACAAGGGTCACACCCCCTTCCTTAGGACAGGCCTTGAGGTAGAAGCTGGTTTCTCAAAAATGGAGTCACATCCGTTTCTCAGTAGCGCCTGTGGGTCTGCGCGAGTCCCAGTGGCTGGTGCCGGCACCTGCACCCTCAGTCAGAGAGCAGGCTCCGCAGAGGACGCAGAGCACACAGGTGGCTACCTCCTCAGCTCGTCAACACCCCTGGGAAGGACAGGAGGAGGCCTCTCTGGAGGCACAGGAGGGCAGGGGTCAGCTTGACCCGTGGAGGAGGCCAAGGATTTTGGTTTAAAGGTAACGTAAGTAGACAAAGGAAGATCTGCATGTTGAGGACACTGGGGTGGGGCTGCGGACACCCCCTTGGTGCTGTGGTTATGACAGTCCCTATCCTGGCTTCCTGTTCCATCCCTGTGAGCAGGAGCCCCCCGCCCCCAGCCTCTCACCTCCACACCAGGCCCTGAGCCCAGGAGGAAGCACGGGACCCCACAGCAGGGCAGTGGGACACATCGTGCTGGCCCCTGGACACTGACTGCATCCAGCCTGACCTCCATGATGGTAAGACCAACCCCAGGATCCTGCCCATCCTGCAGGGCCACCTGCCTGGGGACCCAGGTGGGCGTGCCAGGCCCTGGGGGCAGGACCCACAGGAGCTCCCCAGACGCAGCACTGCTCTGCAGAGGAAGGGCAACAGGGCGTCAGGGGACAAGAGACGTGGTGGGGACTCAGCAGCCCGGGGGAGGATCTGGGGCTCAGGGGAGGGAGGCGGCACCCCTGGGGGAGTCCTGCACCCACCCACCCCACCTGGGAGGCCGGCAGGACTGGGGAGGGCCCGCAGGACAGAGGGTGCTGCCCTACTCCTGGGGGACCAGCAGTGGACTCGGGTGCCCTGGCTTCCTGCTGAGGGGCAGAGGGCTGCACCCAGAGCTGGGGTGGCCTGGGTCTACCTCCCCCTGGGACAGTCCAGGAAGACCCCATGGGCTGGGACAGTGTCTGGAGCACTCTGTGGAACTCCTCCACGACCTTGGCCTTCATGGTCCTGTCTGTGGGGCGGGGTCAGGGCTGGGCCTGGGGCCTGCGGGGAGAGGGCTCCGGGCTGCAGGGCTGCTGGGCAGTGCTCTGGAGAAGGAGGCTGGGCGCCCTAGGGTGGCAGGTCAGTGAGGTGCAGGCTCACAGGTGGTCTGTGCCTGCTGCCCACCCTCAGCCCCCTGCCTGGACAGTGGGTGGTCCACATGGGGACCTGGGAACGCCCTGTGGCCCGGCCACGGTGATGAGGAGCAGGCCACCTTGCCTTGCTCTCTGCAGCCTGAGGGCCCTTGCACACATACCAGCTTCTCATGGGGTGAGAGGGCCAGCACAAGGAAGGTCACTGTCCTGTGGTGGCCTGTGACTGTGTCCTCAGCCGGCCCCATGCACACCTGCCTCACCCCCAGGAGCGGGTCTTCCCCCTGTCCCAGTCCCACAGACCCCTGTCACCACCGTCACCTCTCCCACTAGCTTCTGCTGTGACACCCAGCCCCCCCCCCCCCCCCGGTGACAGTGGCTGCCCCTCAGCCCTGCTCCATCCTCCACAGGACTCCTGGTCTCCTGGGGAAGGGACTCCTGGGCCCAGGACAGAGTGGGCACGGACCCCCACACCCACCCACCCACAGTCGGGAGGACCCCCAGCCATGACCCCTTGGGTGCCATTTCCCTTGGGCACCAGGGACTTGGGACACACCCAGGTACTGGCAGGCCAGACCTCTGCCCCATCCTGGAGCCAGGCCCAGAGGCTGAGCCGCTCAGGGTCACCCAGCCCAGCAAGAGCCCACTGTGTTCAGGACCATCTCCAGGCTGCCCTGGGGGCTGGGCCCCAGCACCCTGATGCACATTCTTGGAAGGACGTTCTCAATCGAGGGGTCTCTGTCCGCCATGACCACAGAGTTCCATGTTCTTGCCAACTGAGGGGCCATGCGCTGCTCTGTCCTCACCCCAGAGGACAGCTCTCCGTTCCATGCCACGGGCTCGGGGCCTTTGTGTAGGAGGAGGGCAGAGTCCTCAGCCTTGGTCTGGTGTTGAGATTCGATGACCCCCAGTGACCTCTCCTCTGACCCTGGGTTCTTCCTCCAAGGTTACAGGAGACTGCTCTGTGTCCCCTGGGGCTGGACAGTCCCTGTTAGGGCCATGGTGGGAAGGGCCTGGGGCTTAGGTCAGGCTGGCGACCAGTGTCCGCAGCACTTCCTGGCTCTATCTCTTGGACGGGTCAGAGGCCAGCACTGAGGACAGCTCTGCCTAGGAGGGGACAGCCCTGTACATCAGCCAAAGGGCAGGAGGACTGCATGCCAGCCCTAGGTCTGGTGGACATTGTCCCAGAATACCACTGTCTGCTCCTCACTAGGGAGGACGCTGGGTCCCACAGGGACCCAGAGTGGCAGGGTGGTGTGGGCAAGGGCACCATCACAGGGGTGGGCACCCGGTGCCCGGAGTGCTTGGCAGGGCTGAGTGTCCTCAGGAGGCACTGCTGCCCCCTGTGGGGCAGGCAGATTTTACTGAGGTAGCTGCTGACAGATGGGCAGGGCGTCCTTTGTTAACCAGAGGGGTCCATGGGGTGACCCTCCTCCCCCAGGTATAAGGGTTCTCTTCTGTGTTCTGCGTATTCATTTGAATTTTATGGAAAGACGACGACACTCCCCACGTGGGAGAACTCAGGGTGGTTTCCTACGCCCACGTCCAGGGGAGGCCGGAGGAGTGGTCCCCTCAGGAAAAGCTGTCGCGGGGCAGGACCCGGCAGCTGGGCGGTGAGAGCGCCACCCTGGGACAGCGCCTGGTCCTCCAGCGCAAGTGCACATGTACCATCCCATGAAACCTGCCCTGGAGACTGTCACAGGGGCTCCTGAGCCAGCTGGAGGAGGCCACCGGCTCCTGGGTCCAGAGCTGGTGGCCAGGGGGCACCTCCCATCCGGCCCCTCCCCGAGTCCTCCCCGCAATGCCAAGAGTCAGCCCTCCTCAGAGGCAGAGGAGACGGACAGGGGTGACCTGCAACTCCATGTCAGGAGCCCTTTGCTCCAACGAAGAGTGGCCTCCAGAGCTGGGGTCCCCGTCCCCCTTGTAAGGAGCTCAGTGCCGCTTTTCATAGACATCTTGGGCCTCCGGTTTCCTTCCTGCCCACTGCCAGCCTCACCACCAGCCTGAGGTGAATCCCGCCCCCCACTGGCCCTATGGGGACAGGGACTAGTGACCAGCTCTCAGAATGCAAGCTGGGAAGGGGGTGGAGTGCTCACTGTGGCCAAGGTGTGGGCAAGGCGTGGCCCCCACGGGTTCAGGTGTGGGAACTTGGTCCTCAGTGCAGCCACGTTGGGAGGAGAGGGGCCAGGGCAGGTTCCTAGGTCACTGAAGACCCCCCAGGAGGGCGAATAGCTCGTGTGGGCCCCTGAGCTCTCTTGAGAGCTGTTGTTACAGGGTGAGCTAATACTCGGCTCGCAAGAGGGCCTGGGTTCAATTCCCAGTATAGAAATAAAGTGAGCCTGAATCCCGGATTGCTCCCTGGCTTCCTGTGTGACGATGGGATGTCTCTCTCACATACACCCCCACCAGAGGCCTTCACCAGAGCCGCGCTGACAGTCACCAGGCCCTTGAACAAACAACTGTGAGCTGGGCAAACCTTTTTCCTTTATCAAGCACACAGCCTCAGGTATTCCATCGTGGTAACAAAGAGCAGATCAATGTGTAATTCATACCTATGGGTCTGTAACTGCAGAGACAAATTCAATTATGAGCTACTACAAATAAGAAGAAAACCAGTAAGGAAAAAGACCTTGGGATAATCCAGAAACCTCGAGCCTCATACAGAAGAGTCAAGAGAAGGCAAAGCCATTGCAATGGTGTTTGGGTGGAGTCCTGTGTGGTGAACACATGAGATGGTAGAGGAGTGACCGGCCAGGGGGAGGCCAGTGGTCTGAGAGGGGACGGGATGTGCCTCGGCCAGTGTGGGGCTCCTGACCTCCAGGCCAGCTCTGCTTGGGCAGACCCCTGCATAGAGCCAGATTCCCAGGGGACAGTGCCCGCCAGGGGCAGTCTCAGTGCCCACCAGGGGCAGTCTGCGCTGGACCTGACTCTGCACACATCCAGAGAGGGCAGAGACAGGCCGGGGGAGTCTCACTGGGCAGGGAGGCTTGGATAGAAATGAGGCTGGCTCAGCCAGACCACCTCTCGCCTGGGAAGAATCGCTTTTACTGATTAAGACAGTGAGGGTGACCTCAGGGCAGGTGCAGGGCCCTGGCTGAGCAGGTCTTCCACCTTGGGAGTTCTGCCCGGCTCCCCAGGCCCCTCCTGGGTGCTCTCAGCCCCCTGCTGCTCTAGGACTCTCTGGGCAACTCACAGGCTTCTGCAGACCCAGAGAGAGACAAGGGACAGGGACGGGTGGTCACCACCTCACAGGAGGAAGGAGACCCAAAGGCCCCTCCCAGGAGAGTGGAGACCGCGGTGAAGGGAGGAGCCAGAGGGAGAGCCCTGGTTACCAGCCTGCGGAGGGGCGGTGATCTCTGTCTCGTTCAGGCCTTTCCTCTTCACAAACTCCTGGAACAGGCTCAGGGCCCCCGGGTCTTCATCCAGGGTGCGGCCTGCAGGGAGGCGGGGTGAGGGTGGGCGTGGAAGGTGGGGCGTCCACAGGGGGTGGGGCAGGGGCCGGGGGCACCCCTCCTGCATGTGGACTCTGACGGCTCCGGGCACCTGGAGGGCGCAGGGGCCTCGCTATCTGCCCCACCTTCAGTCGGCATCTGAAAGTGGAAGCAGCCCTCCCGCCGCTCTGGCTTCTCCCTGTCTCACACCTGGGTACCCCGTCCTCCCACACGGGGTCTTCCCCTGCCCAGGGCCAGCAGGGAGCAGAGTGCAGGGGCAGAGTCCCAAGGACAGCCACATGAGATTGCCACTTGTGTAGGGTGGGCCAGGGTTGAGGAGGGGAAGGCTGAAGGAGGACGCAATGTCAGACAGATGGCGCCGGGTCAGTGTGGAAGTGACCGTGAGCAGTGGACAATGCAGGTTCACCCTGCACACACTCATACATGTACATTTACACACAGGCTCACACATGTGCACACACATGTGACTTCTACATGCCTACAGGCATGTGCCCTGCAGGTGCACACAGGCAGGCACACACGGTGCATGAACACTGCACGCTCCCGCTGGCCCTGCCCAGGGTGCGTACTGAAGAGCATCATCATGTTTATTTCCTGGTTATTCATCTTGTCTTCAAAGTAGGCGACCCCGTAGCTCCTGGGCGTGAGCAGCCAGATGAAGATCAGATGTTTCCACCCTGGAAGGAAACTGGTCACGGAGGGCTTGGACTGTGGGGTTTGGGACCTCAAGGGAGGCCACAGCCCCACCTTCTCGATGCCTGGAGGAGGTGTGGAGGGAGCTCAGCCGTCAGGAGGCATCCAGGATCTGGGAGATTCAGGGAAGTTAGCCCTTGGACGGGGAGAGTCTCAGAGCATGTGACCAGCATTTGGGACCATCTGGGATGGCTGGGGACTGGGCACTGAAGGTGGAACGCTCCCTCCCCAGGGCAGGAGTCAGGTTCCCAGGGGACAGTGAGAGCTGAGTGGATGGCATGGGGGACCCAGGCAGACTCCAGGCTGTGCCGTCCTGTGGGGAGGTGCCAGGGCCCGCGTGGCCACCAGGGGCCACTTACAGGTGGTGTAGTTCCCAGGGGTCTGTGACGTGGAGAAGGGCAGTTTGAGCAGCTGGCACCTGCTCGGCTTCCTGGAAGACAGAGGCGGCTGTGAGGGAGAGGCCCAGGGCGGGGGCAAGCTGGGGCTTTGCCACCAAAGACCCCCACTCATTCTCTGGATGTCTGTCCTGCTCCACGGGCCCAGGAAGTGGCTGCAGCCTGTCTCTTTCAGTCCCACCCTGAGGCACCAAGACCTGGCCCAGGGCTCTGACCTATCTTTGCTGAAACCCAAGTATCATTTCAGTCGCTCTAGCCCCAGCTCACCTCTGCTCCCATCCTGCTGCCACCATCTTTGGGGACACGTGGATCCCACAGCCTCCCCGGACGCCCCTTGCACACCCCTACACAGGTTGTGTGCAAGCCCTCCTCCCCCAGGACTCAGGCTGCAGCGCGGGGCGGGGGACCAGCTCTCTGAGGGTTGTGCCTCCACAGCCCCGGACAGCGTGCACCACCACCACACGATGTCGGGAGCTGCCACACAGGAACCGAGTGCCCCTCAGCCCTGAGCGATGCGAGAGTGCAGGTGTGGGGAGCCTGCCCTGGGCTGGGGGTGAACCGTGGGCACTGAGCGCACAGGGCGGGCAGACCCCACGTGGTCCCTCTGTTTGGGTGGGCCTCAGTCTGTCTTTTCACTGGCCCCGCCTTGATCCCCACACAGCTCATGAGATGGGCGTGGCCTCCCCAGGTGTCAGTCAACCGCTGACAGCAGACATCAGGAAGCTGGACTCAACCCCCTGACCCCTGACCCCTTGCCTCATTTGAATGGCTTCTCCCCAATAAAAGGGGTCACTCTCTCTTTCCACAGACTCCTAAGGTTGGAGGAGCCGTCACACGACCCAAAGAAAAAGATGTTTCTCCGTCTCTGTGTGGTTATTTCTGGCAGCCAGTTCACCTGGAGTGACCCTGAGTGTTTATTCGTGGGATGTGACAACACGTGATGGGTGGTCAACGGCCAGCTTGCCTGCCCCGGAGCCCTCAGTGGGGGACTTTCAGAATTGCACCAAGGGCGCCTGCTAGATGGGAGCTCGGCTTGTGGACGCGGTTCAGCAGGACCCTGAGCAGGCCCTGAGCCATCAGGGTGTGACATAGCCTCTCCTGTCCTTCCCACTGCAGCGGCTGCAGTGGGGGAGAGGATGGGGCTGGCCGTGGCTCCTACAGGGAAGACCCTCCTAGTTCCCTGTCTGCCTCAGCAGCATCTAGCCCCAAGTCGGTTCCAGCGGTCCCTTCCTAGCTTTCTGGAGGCCTTAAGCCCCGCCTCCCCGGCACCTGCGGGGCTGGGCTTTTGCCAGGTCTGAGGAGACTGGCCTCCGCACACCTGCACCACACCCTCCCAGCACGGCAGCACCTCTTGGTGACCACCACATTAAGGACGGAAGTTGAAACCAACCCCACGGGGCTGTGCCCACCTCTAGGCCGCAGGCAGGGGTGAAGCCTGAGTCCAGTGGCCAGTTAGCAAGGGGTGGCTTCGGGAGGGGAGGGGAGGCCACTCACCGTATGTGCATCCTGAACTGCAGCTGCCCGTTGTGGCTCACCACAAAGTGGAAGGGAGGCAGGGGCTCCTGGCGCTTCTCCCGGGGGATGGGGATGGTCCCAGCCCAGCAGATTATATACCACTTTCCTAAGAGCTGGTGGGGGGATGCCTGCGGTCAGTGCTGGGGTGGGGGCGAGGAGGAGGAAGGAGGGAGGAGCCGAGCAGAGCGGCGTCCACACTGCCAGCGCCTGAGCGGACCACAGCCCACGGCATGAGCTGGGGGCTGGGCTTGAATCAGGGGAAGAGACCAGACGGGGGAGAAGGGGGCAAACAGGAGGGTCTGGAGAGGAGGTTCTCTTCTCTTAGGGCAAAGAAGGCCAGCCAGCCGCCCCAGCCTTCCCAGGTGGCCAGCAAAGGACACCAGTGACACCACTGCTGTGACATTCCCGCAGGAGCTGTCACTACCCTTCCTCCCAGAGCAGGGGCTGGCGGGCCGCTCAGAGGGGAAGGTAGAGGCCCCCGACTGCTGCGTGTTGGGCCCAGGGGGCCGGAGCTGAGAGGGAGCAAGGGCACATGAGCAGAGCTCCCGGCGACAGCCGAGGACGCAGCTCCCTCGGCTTAGAGGTGTCCACAGGCATCTTGTCAACCCCGCTACAGACGTCCTCCACCTGGCCATGCAGCAGCCCTCCACCAGGCCCACACCCACCGCTTATCACCCTCTGTCCTTCATCCTCTCATCCATCCACCCATCCAGCCACCAGTCACCCACCCACCTCCACCCACCCGCCCACCACCCGCCATTCCTCCTTCAAGCCACCTGCCATCTGTACGTCTCACTGCACGTCCATTCGGTCAGCTCTTCTTCCACCCACTAGCCATTATCCACCACTCCACCCATCTACGTGCTCCTCCGTCTACCCATCCCTCCATCCGTCTTTCCGTCCACACACCCTCCACCAGCCATCTCCTCCTCACCCCTCATCCCTAGGTCCACACGTCTGTCCACACAGTCGTCCTCCGTCCATCCACTTACTGAATGACTGAGCAACGTGGGGTATAAATCAGGCCCAGGCGGCCAGCCTGCACTTCCCAGCCACCGCCGAGAGCCCCTTACCCTCCAGCCATCACTGCTGCTGAGCCCTTGCCCCAGGGCCAACTGCAGTTTTGTCCCGATGACATGCACATGTGACAGTGCACAGCGTCCCTGGAGCTCAGAGTAGACCCATCGCGAGCCCCCGGTTTCCCAGTACCAGCTCCGGCCCCCTCTCTGGGGCTCCGGGTTCACTTTCCTGGCTTCAGGAGTCTCCCAGGCCAAAGCGAGGCACCATGGACCCGGAGGCTGAGAAGGACCACAGGACTGAGGAGCCCTGCTCCCTGCAGTGGGGGAAAGGGGCGACCCAGGCGCTGGTGTTCCCTGGGGAAGAGAAGGAGCCAACTCCCCAGACCCCGGTGGACAGAGTGTGATGGCAGTTGACCAGCTCCCAGGGAGGGAGGGGTAGAGGCACAGTGGGTGAGGACGTGTAGGAACCCTGGCTCATGGCCTGGGTGTTAAGAGTGTCATGTGACCAGGTGGCATGAGCCCAACAAGAGGAACAGGAGTCCCCAGGAGGTAGGATCAGTGATGAGGGCCGGGCCACACCAAGGCTTCCGTGGACCGTGTTGTTCCATGTGGATTCCTATGTTGGTAACGTGTGGTGATCAGATGTCACACTGTTAATGTGGTGGCCTCCTAAAGTAAAACACAGCACAGGCAAGACGGCCTCACATTCATGGAGGCTTGAAATAGGCCAAGTGTCCTCCCAACAATGACTTTGAGAAGCGGCAACAAAGTCTTGGGCGACGTGAGCAGCGCCTGGTGCCACACAAGCAGGCTGGGAGACCCCGGTGTCAGTGGAACTCGGGCAGGAAGGAGCTGATCCACTGCAGGAGACCCTGCACCGTCCACAGGGAGTGGTCAGCGGGCACAGCGTGGCACCCTATCCTCTGCCGGACAGCCCTCTCCAGTGAGGAGCTAGGTGACCTCACCTATGGCTCTGGTCAACAGGACTGTGACAGGTCGTGCCTGACCTCAGACACCGGGTCCCACTGCCAGGCTCTTACCTTCTGAGGGTGAGCAGGGACCACCACGTTGTCCTCCTCTTCCTCCTGGGCTCGCGCCACAGAGAGCAGGCTCAGCCCCACGGTCAGCAGGAGCAGCCGCATGGTCCCCAGGTCACCTCTGTGCTCCTGCTCCCAGCCGCCATTTATCCTGCCAGGCCGCCCAGGAGGCAGGACCCTGCCCGCCCCACCTGCTCTGAGGCTCCTGGGCCACAGGGCGCGGGCGCTGTTTTGCTTGGATGGAGGTGAAAGGTCAGCACGGAGCTAATCTGTGTGATTAGCCAGTGGGACTGACTCACGTGACCCATTCTGAGGAAGGCTGTCCCGAGGAGAATGTTATCAGAGGGAAGTGGTCACCCGGGAATTGGAGCCAGGGGGTGGCAGACAGGTTCCTGGGCCCTCCCTCCCTGGGAGCCTGGCCAGCCTGGTCCTGATGTGCTCCGCGGGGTCTCTGCCCAGGCCCAGGCCTCAGTTCCCACCAAAAGCAGTTTCTGAACCCCCCCCATTGTCCCACTCTAAACTCCAGGCTCAGCATCCAGCCCCTCCCCAAACACCTCCCTGGCTACGCATGGCGCCTGCAGCCCCGGCCCCTGGGCGCCAAGGTGCTGTTTCCCTCCAGCACTCCGTCTCCCACCTGCACCCCTGAGCACCCTGGAGACCTGGCTGGCTCTCTCCCCTGCCCCTGCTCCTGCCCCATCAGCCTGCTGGCCCGGCCTCTGGAAGGCCTCCAAGCCCACCTCCCCCAGGCAGGGCCTTCCTGCTCCAGGCTCAGGGACAGGCCCCCACAGGCCCTGCTGCTCTCTGGCCCACGCCCCTCACTTGTCCTCTGCTCCCAGACCTGACCCAGGTGTGACCGCAGCGTCTTCCTCCTGTGCCCGTGTATGGTCATGTGTGTGTGCCATGTGTGGGTGTGTCTGTGAGTGTGCACATGCTTGGGTACGGCTGTGCCTGGGTGTCTCTGCCTGTGTCCATGTGTAGTGCCTGTGTCTGTGTGCATGTGTGTGTCCTTGTATGTCTGCATGTGTCTCCGTGCCTGCGTGTGTCTCTGAGTGTTTATGTGTGTGAGAAGCACGCTCACCTGTGCAAACCCTGTGACTAAGAGGGAAAACCCAGGCTTCTCTCTGTTGACGGTCTTGTGAGACGGTGCCGGGAGCAGGCACACCCAGAGCACTCACAGCCAGCATTTCACCCCCGAGAGTGCAAGGTCCCGCCCCCCACCCCGCTCACCCTTGGCTGAGGACTGTGGGGAGCTTCGTCTTCCCAAGGGCACCAGGTTTCACTGTCTGCTGTTGGGCTGTTAAAGAAATGTCCCCTTGGGGCTGGGGCTGGGGCTCAGTGGTGGAGCACTTGCCTGGCACGCGTGAGGCACTGGGGCACCACCTATAAATAAATAAATAAATAAAATAAAAGGTCCATCGACCACTAAAAGATGTTTTTAAAAGAAAAGAAATGTCCCTTTAGTTGTCCCCACCTCCCTCTGCTCTCTGTGGCAGGGGAGTCCCCTTGGGTGGAGTGCATTTTGGCACGTCTGCAGTTATCTCTGTTGGTCGGGGCCCCTCCCTCAGCTGTCTGTCAAGGGGCTGGGAGTCTTTACCCTCCATGTTACCTGCCTGTAATGTCCATCCTGCCCTCCCACCACCCCTGTCCTTCACCCCCAGCCATTTTACATTGGAGCCAAATGCTGTGTTCTGAAAATGGACCACCAGACTTTCTAGTCCTCACTCATGTCAGTGTGCATGTGTATCTGGGCGTGTGGGCGTGTTATGTGTGCATGTGTGTGCCACGTATCTGTGGCCCGTGTGCTGGCCAGCCTCCAGAATAGCCCCTACTATGCGCTTCTGAGCTTCCTGAGTGAGTGGCCACGACCACCAAGCCCCGGAGCCCTCCATGACCCCAAGCCCCTGCCGTGCTGCTCCTCAGCTCAGGACGTGTCCACCCCCAGGGGTCGAGGGGTCATGCCAGAGTTCTGGAGTCCATTCTTTGGAGGTCTTCTGGACCTCTCTGAAGTGGGCCCTCTGGCTTGGCTCTTCAGACTCACCACTGGGAAGCAGAGGGGCATCTGTGGTTGTGGAATTCGTCTGGACGGCACTGCCCCCCAGAAGGTTCCTGCCTTCGCTTCAGGAGGATTCTGGCTGGTGTGTCACCATGCTGCCCATGAGGTCACTTGTGCCCAGTCTAGGGCCAGAGCAGTGCACCGCCCAGGTCACTGGGCCAGTGAGGAACGTGCCGACGGACGCAGCCGCAGACAGCCTGCGCCACCACATGCAGCACAGGTGTGAGCGTGTGTGCGCCTGTGAGCATGGGCGTGAGCTCCCTGCACTACCGCGCAGCGTTTCACGGACGAGGAGACAGAGGGCCTTGGGTAGCAATGACTGAGTCCCGGGACTCTTCCCAGGCCCTCTGTCCCCAGGCCTGGTGGGCCAACAGCATTAGAGGGCCCCGTGTGGCCACAGCATCTCAGGCCTTGGGTTGTCCTTCGCCATGGAAAGGGGGAGGACGGGCTCCCGGCTCTCGCTCCCGCTCCCACCCTGGGGCTTCTTGCTTTCAGCCACTCAGTGGGCCACTTGCTCGCACTTTGGTTTGGGTGACGTTTCCTGACTTGATCGTAACAGTTGTCTTCAAATATTGTGGGTATTGGGTGGCTCTGAGGGTGCTGAGGTCAAGAGGGACGGGCACAGGCTCTGTCTGACGTGAGCAGAGAGGAGCCTGGGGTGTGGGACGGGGTGGAGGAGGAGGCGCAGCTGCACAGGTGGCCCTGGGGAGGCTGCAGGAGGCTGTGGAGAGAGATGAGTGATGGCCAGGGGCTCTGCATCCTCCTGGGCAGCACCGGTGTCTCCCAGCTCTGGATGAAGTTCCAGGGCCCAGGGGTGACTGGCCTGGCTTCTGTCCTTGGACCACCCACCACGGGGGCTGTGGGCACTGGGCTGGCCTGCAGACCAGCTTGGGCTGCCACGAGGGAGTCATCACGGGAAATGGACAAGCATGGCAGATGGGGTGGGGGAGGCTGGATGGGGAGGCTGGCCCAGGGAGGCCGAGACAGGCCCCTCGCAGCCTGCTGGGCCTTCGGTCCCGTTGTGACTCCACACCTGCATTTTCAATTCGTATGGTCACGTCTCTACTTTTCAGCCGACGTGCCCTGCATTGCTTAGACGCTTCCCAAAGCCTTTCCCACTGTGGTCAGTGAAGCTCTTCCTCCTGTTTCCTTGCATGTCCACACGCGGTCCCAACCCTTCTGTAGCTGACTTCAGCGGGGAGGCTTCATGCCCACCATCTTTGCAGGGTCAGGCCTGGCCCTGCCCTCTGCACATCTAGGCTGATTGGGCTCTACCTGGCACCTGCTGGGACTGTGTTGCAGGGCCACCCAGTAGTCCCCACCAAGAACCAGGTGGAGGCAAGAGGGGAGGGGGAGAGGACGGCAGGTCAGAGTGGAACTCAGGTAGCTGGGTCGCTGAGCTGATGGTCAGGCGGCTGAGCCATCAAAGGCCCCTCAGAGGAAGAGGTGGGCACTGCGGGCTGGCTCTCTGGGAAGCCGGGTCCCTCGGGTCCGTGGTTACTGGGGCTGCGTTTATCATCTCCTGGCTCACTGTGGTCCCCCACCGTCTGTGGGCCCAGTGTTCCCACAGACCAGGGCCTGCACAGACCACGGGGAGGGCCAGGGCGAGGGTGCAGACCAGGGGAGGCTGTGCCTGGCTCCGTCTGCCTGAGGGGTGACGAGGGAGGTGCTGGCACCGTCCCCATCACCTGCCCCTGGGCTCAGCCTGCTTCATGTCTGGCTCCTGCAGGATCCTTGAAGCCCCCGCTGAGGCAGCAGCCCTGCCAGGGACCTGTGCACCTTCTGCAGCCCTGACACAGATGTCTCCCCAGTCCTGCCCACCCCAGTGACTTCCCCAGTGCCCCTGCCCAGGGCCCGGCACCTTCCCAAGCCACTCAGGGCCGTGGCTCATCAGGAGGATCTCAGGACAGCACCCCTTTGTGCTTGGGGTCTGACCACAATTGGCGCCAATGTCTCCCCAGCTGCCCCCATGGCTCCCCCTCCTAGCAGGGCCCCCAGGGAGCCATCGCCAGGCCCCTAAAGACTCGACCAAGCCCAGAGTGGTGCAGAAGGTCTTTATTTAGAGACAGGAGGGATGTGGGTGGGGACAGTGGCTGCATGGGAAGGGTGGTCCAGGAGGAGGGGTGGTCCAGGAGGAGGGGTGGACCAGGAGGAGGGGTGGACCAGGAGGAGGGGTGGTCCAGGGCACAGGTCTTGTCAGTGGTGAGTGGGCTCACGGGGTGCAGACCCAGGTGGCTCTGGGGACAAGAAGAGGCGCTGAGGTGGGAGACCCTCCCATGGGAGGACCAGGGGCAGGGCTGCGGCTGAGCAGATTCCAGGTCCACCTTCCTCCTTCTGCAGGCTGTGGTGAAGACCCTGATGGACAGCCATGGGCCCAGAGGGGCTCCCAGGTTGCCATGACCATCCGGGTCATTGATGGCCAGAGTAGGGATTGGATCAGGGGCCAGGGTGTGGGAGGGCGCGGCAGCTGACCCTCACTGGTAGAGGAAAGTGTCCCCAAGTGTCCCGGATCGCCCCCAGGGCCAATATCTGAGGGCATCACCCCTGCCTGGCCAGGTGGGGTCTCCCTCTTGGGTGGATGGGAGGAGGCAGAGAAGGTGGACTGAAACTCCAGAGCCGGGGACTCTGGGGTCTCCAGCGTCCTCCCGCGGTCACTTACCCTAGTCGTGCTCGGGAACACAGGTGTCTGCAGAAACCAAGGAAAACTCAGTGGGGAGGAGGCGCCAGGATGGGCGCAGGCCCCCTCACACCCACAGCTGCAGCCCTCCATGACCAAGACCCAAGCAGGGCCCTGGTGTCCCTGAGGGGCTTGGGACATGGGGAGACAGAGAGGACGCAAGGACACAGAGGGGGACATTGGGGTCACGGAAGGACAGAGAGACACAGGGTACAAAGACATGGAAGACATAGGGTGGTACAAGGAACACAGAGGGGACGTTGTGGGGGACAAAGGCAGCCGACCCCTCACCCGTCTGCTCAGGTGTGAAGATGGTCTCGGCCAACAGTCCCTTACGCTGCGAGAATTTCCTAAATTCTTCCAGGGCCTCCAGGTTCTCCTCGGGGCTCCTCCCTGGAGAGAGGGGACCAGGTGAGCTGAGGGGGGCTGGCTGCACATGCTGTGGGGACAGGGCCACCTACTGGCATCCAGAGCTTTGCCCTGGAGTGAGCAGGTCTGCAGTGTCAGGCCCCTGAGTTGGAAGCACCCCATGTCACAGAGTCACAGGGCTGTCCCCTGACCCTGGAGGGTCCCTGTCCCATGAAGGTGTTTGCCAGGACCCTCCCCCTATAGGCTGACCTGTCCTGATGCCCAAACACTGGGAAGTGGCACTTGGCAGCCTGAGTGGCTGGAGCCCCCTCCTGAGTGGTCAGGACTCTGAGGGCCATGTCTGTCCCTGTGCCTGACAGTCCTCCCCCAGCCAACTCCTTCCCACTTCAGAGCTCATCTCTGCCTGGGCAGCTCACAGTGCCTGGCACACAGAGGCCAGCCCAAGGCTCTAGTGCCCGGTGCCAGGGAGTGGCTGCTGGTTCCTGGGCTTTGGGGAGTGGGGACCATGGGGCAGAAGACGGGGGTCTCCGAGGAACCCTCACCCATGAGCTTGCCCATGCGGAACTTCTTCCCTGGGTCCTGGCTTTCACAGTAGAAGATGCAGTGGTCGCTCTCGGGCAGCTCTTCTATGTACACGAACTTCTTGCCGTGGTCTGTGGCTGGACGGAGAGGGCAGCTCTTCAGTGTCTTCATTGTTAAAAACAAAACCCTGGAGACCACGTTGAGGAGGAGCCTCTACTTTCCCCTGTCCCCCAGGAGCCACAGCCACCCCAGCCAGGGAAGGAGCCACCCAGCTGTGGAGTCCAGGTGCCAGAGGCTGGAGGATGTGGAGGCTGGAGCTTGGCCCTGGCCCGGGGAGTTGCCCTGCCCTGTCCAGGACTCCAGTCCTCGGTTTCCCCAAAGGTCGAGAGCTAGGACCTCTCAGAGGGAGCGACTGCCTAGTCAGTCCCTGCTGGGGACAGCGTGGGACACCTGGTGTCTGGGGTCAGAGCCACAAGGCCCTGGGAAGCAGAGGCAGCCCTGCTGGGAGGTGGACAGGACCCTCCCACCCCCAGGAGCTTCCCCTGCAGGGGGCTCCAGGCTCAGCCCCGGGGACTCACAGGCGCTGTATCTGCCAGGCTCCTGGGTTTTCTGCAGAGTAACTTTCTTCTCTAGGCACCGCCCCTGAATCCTGGAAGCAGGAGCACACGGGCAGCTGCTCTCAGGACAGGCACCTGAGCCAAGCTCAGCTCACCTGGTGGGCCAGCCCTTACATGGTGACACTGAAAATCCCACTCGACCCGCCTGAGCCTTGGGAACCTTCCTGGACTGTGTCCCTCATAGCAGGGGATTTATTTCTGATGACACTCAAATGTGGATGGGTGATGGGAAGTGAAAGGGAATTGAGGGTCCTGCAGGGGCAGCACTCACAGGAGGGTGGTCTTGGCCTCCCAGCTCCCATCTTCCAGGGCTGTCACGGTCACGGGGAACACCTTCCCGGGCCCCTTCCAGTCTGGTACCAGGGGCATGTTGACCACAAAGGCCTTTGCGTACCAGGTCCCTGTGATCTGGAGAAGGTCAAGGCATGAGTCACCTTGGCCCCGCCCAGATTCTCCCATCACTCCCTGGCACAGGGACCTGCAGCCCAGGGGACTCCCAGAGCCCAGGCTGAGCCCCCCGAGACGGCCTCCCCCATGCCTGCTCCCTGCCCTCAGTAGAGCAGGCCCCACACTCAGGTCTCCTGGACCCCACGGAGGTGGAGGGTTCGGCCCCCAAGGATCTGTTCATTTCAGGGACTGGGCCTGGAATGGATGAGTGTCACTCCAGAGGGCAGTGTCCCTAGAGGAATTCAGGTTCCAGTGGCACTTCCACAGGACCCTGACCTGAACCTCCTCCCTGCACCAGCCCTGTCCCCAGGAAGGGCCCTGTCTAGGGACAGCAGAGGGAATGCCATCTCTGACCCTCAAGGGCAGGAGTGCAGGGTCTGCTGGCCTTAAGTGACCCCTGAAGCAGGGCTCCCAGCTGCTGCCCGCTGACCAGGGCTCAGGGCATTTCTCCCACCCGCCCACTGGCCCACCCAGCCTCACATTCAGCTCCTCCCAGGGGAAGGTCAGGAGGTCCTGGGCCTGCAGGGCAGACAGCAGGCCCAGCAGCACGATGGTCAGGAACAGGGACTTCATCTCCAGGCTCTGTGCTGGGCCAAGGCGGGTCACCTGGGCGTCAGGACGAGGCTGTGCCGGCTCCTCACAGGACGCCCTATATGTCCCCCGTGGCCAGTGTCCTGTGTGGACTTGGCACAGGACACACCCACCGCCTGTCACTCAGGGCCACATCCCCATCATCAGGGAGGGGAATGTCGTTATTGTTGGATCCCGTGAGTCACCATTTGGAGCCACCTAAAGGTGAAAGACACACAAGGCCATTCAGTGTCTGCACCACCCAGGTGCTGCTCCAGCCCAGCCAGCCTGGAGGGGACAGGCGTGGGCTGTGGCTGGGAGCCCCAGGGAGGGAGGGCCCGGCTTCCCCAGGGACTGGCTTCTCTCCTGCTGCTGAGGGGGACGGATCTCCAGGCCACAGGCTGTGCCCCAGCCCCCAGAGCCCAGCTCTCCACCCTGGAGCTGCCCTCCTTGCCCTTCCTGCCTGGGTGCCCCTCCCCAGAGCTCCCTGGAAGGGGGGACACCATCGCATGGCCAGGAGCAGTTTAGCCATCCCCCCTCAGAGCTGCCCAGGCCTCGCTAGGGATGGAGGAGGCCTCCTGATCCACCCATTGTGTGCCAGGAGGCCAGCTCTGCTGTCTCGAGAGCACTTCTGTGTCCCTCGCCCACCTCCTCTGTGGCAGCTGACGTCCCCAGGAGAGGGGCTCGGCTCCCGCGGTTCTCTGCTTTATCAGGGCAGCTGAGGAGCTCGGCCCATGTTAGGGGTCATGAAGACGTGTCTCCTGAGTTATTCGACCTCTGCAAGTCTCCGTGGACTCACTCTAACAAGGGGACATACAGCTGCTATTGCTCTGGTCGTCTGAGGACCGCCCCTGCCCCCCTGGCACAGCCGAGGCTCCTTGGGTGTTCACCTTCCCCCTGGAGCGGGCTTCAGGGATGGAGCCCTCACAGCCTGCCGTGAGCCCTCCCTGGGGCGTCCCCTCCTCATTCCTGCAGAGCCCCCTCCCAAAGGCTTCCCCTCCTCAACAGCTCTGACCAACCACAGGTCCCCATGACAGCCTGGTTCCCTTTGGATAGATCTCCTGAGAGGCTCAGGAGGCCTGGTGCCCACCTGTGCTCAGAGTTCATGCTGAGTCCCCTGGGCCCCTGCTCTGCCCCTTCAACCTCAGCTGCCCCCAACCGGAGCTGAATCTCCCCCTTGGCCCTGCAGACCCCACAGTTCCCAGGCCTGAGCCTGAGTCCCAGGGGACCTTGGCTCTGGAGTCAGGAGCTGGGCCCACAATGGTGTCTTTGTGCCTCTCTGGCCTGGGTCTGGCTGAACAATACTAATGAGCACCCTCTGATAACCGTGGGGCTGTCCTGAAGGTGCTGGCGTGATCCAGGATTGACCCCAGCCTGGAAGGGGCTCTGAGCAGGAAGCCTGTCCTCCCCGGGGTGGGGAGGGCGGGGCCCGTGCTCTTTAGGAGCAGAGACCAGGGAGCAGCTGGAGGCTCCACGCAGGGGAGACTGGTCCGCCCGTGTTCTGGTTTGACTGTGCCCTAGCTATCTTTTGTCCCCTGTTTTGTATGAGCCACTGATGGTTGGTCTTGTGACATGGGCACAGGCCTATGTTGGGTTTAATGGAAGATCTCCAGGCGCCTCCTGCCGGCCACCCACCTTGCCCCTTGTCCCAGCAAGCTGACCTCTACAGAGCTCTCTAAATTTGCTCCTCCTAGATACTGGTTAAGCTCAGCTTCCGGTGGACACCCTCACAGGTGATAGGCCAAGGAGCAGGGATCATCAGATGGTGGACAGAAGGTAGGACAGCAGTTTGGGGTCAATGCATGCCAGACAGGAGACAAGGCAGAGGTCAAGGTCCATTGATGGTTAATACTGCTATGGGATGACATGGCAGGAGGTCAGAATCGACAGGTGGTAGATGCTGTCAGGAGATTCTAGGGCAGTTGGATGGGGCTCTACCTGTTGTGGATAAGAAGTAAGGTGAGGTCAGGGTCTATGGTTGGTAGGTGCTGTAATGAGATGGTGTGGAAGGAAATTGAGGTAAATAGATGCTAGATACTGTCCAGAGCCAACAGGGAAGGAGGTTGGGGTCAATGATGGTGGACAGCATCAGGAGGACCACATGCACAGATGATTGACAGGACAGGGTCATCAGCATGAATCCTGTGCTGCGTGACGATGGAGCTCTCCAGGGGCCAGCCCTCAGGTTGCCCCGTGTCCCAGCTACCTGCAGTCTACAGAGTTCTCCACCTCCATTCTTAGATGCTGGCCAGGTTCAGCTGGTCATGGACAGCAGGTAGGGCAGGAGGTGGAGGTCTACACAGAGCAGAGGCTGTAAGAGAGGAGGGCAGGGGGTTGGCTTCAACCCGTGGAAGACACCCCTGGGAGTCTGTAGGGCAGGAGGGGAGGTGCCCCATTCTCCGTGGCCGAGGCAGTTGTCTGCCTACGTGCCATTTTGGTGTGACATGCTGTTGGCCTGCCACACTGCTCAGCTCTGGCTCTCACCACCTCTGTGACACCCCAGTGCTGCTAACCCTAGGTGCCTCACTGAAGTGCACAGAGTCTGGACCTTACTCCACCTTTGGGAATGATATTTTGATGGCCTCCGTCCCACACTCACCCCAGTCACCCATTTCTGACCTGGAGACAAGTTCTCTGGGGAACTAGCTTGTCTCGCCTCCTGCTACCGAGGAAAGGATAAGCCCCCGAGTGACAGGGAGCCCACGTCAAGGCTCCTGGATCAGCAGCATGAGGACAGAGGGCATGTCAGCTGGGGCTGAGGGGAGCCTAGGAGGGATGGGGGGTTGAGACGAATGACCACGAAGCCTGCAAGGTCAGTGGGCCCTGGGGACTGGAGCGTGTTCCACTGGGTTAGTTATTAGAGCTGTGGCCACCACCACCCCGCAGCCTCAGTGACAGATCAGACTCGGTGTGCAGCCCGAGTGGGTCAGGGCAGGCAGGGCAGGGGGCTGTGGCTGGAGGTTCTCCCGACCAGCCCTCTCACCCATTGCTGACGATGGTTCTGGACACACTGACACTTGACAGAGTTCCACCTGGACTGCCTGCATCCTCCCTGACACACACACGGGTGAGACCCAGAGGTGCAGGGAGTCACACACTCAGTGAGAGGCATAGCCACTAATCGGATGGATTATCAGGGGGATGATGGCCAGCATCTCATTAAGGGGTCCTTCTTCCTGCCCAGGATAATGCAAACCACCCTAAAACTTACCATCTCAGATAATCAGTAAGTAACAAAGCACAAATACTCAGAAATATATTTCAGAAAGCGAAGCCCCTGGCAGATGGAGTCCACATGGGTCTTGAACTAGACAAAAGCAAGATGGCTCTGGTGGTTTATTTAAGGGGGTCCATCAAAGGCAGGGATAAGGTTTCCAGGGCGGAGTCTTGCTTCCTGATGTCCTGCAGTCAGCAGGTTGTTTGGCATCTTGGCAGGTGACACCCGCCTCAGGTGCTGTGTGGGACCAGGCAAAGCTGAAGGGGCGGTTCACCTGCATCAGGGGGTCCATCCCTGTGGGGGCGCCACGGGGGCTCCCAGTGCCAGACTGATCCTTCAGGAGGCCCCTCTGCTCAACAGTCCACGGACGGCTCGTGACAATAAATGATACGTCCTCTGCCTGACAGTGGGACAAGGTGATAAGGTCCCTCTGTTCTCAGAGGACCCTCAGGAGCACTGATCACAATTCCCCACAAGGCGACTTTCTCGTGAACACACCTTTTCTTGCATTTTCCACCTTCTGTATCTCCCTCAGTCTCAGATTTCTGGCCTCTAGAACCATGAGAAAACAACTGTCTGTGTTTTAAGCCACCCAGGCTGCGGCACTTTGTTAAAGCAGCCCTAGAACAATACAAACCTGACACACTTGTAATTATATAAATGTGAATGGCCTAAGCATTCCAGCTGACCAATTAGAAAACAGTGATTGGCAGCATGAATTTAAACTATAATAAAATATATACTGTTTGCCAGAAACTTATTTGGAATATAACCACAGAGCAGGTTAAAAGCAGAATTGGGTAAGAAGTTTTAATATTCAGGGGCTGAGGTTGTGGCTCAGTGATAGAGCACTTGCCTAGCATGTGTGAGGCCTTGGGTTCGATCCCTAGCACCACAAAAAAACTAATAAACAAAATAAAGCTATTGCGTCTATGTACAACTAAAAAAATATTTAAAACGTTTTAATATCCAGACATTAATCAAAAGAAGCAGAAGTATTGGTTTAATATTAGATAAAACAGCTTTAGAATAATAAAAATTAACAGAGCCAGAGACAGATCATGTAATCGCACATAGCCCCACAGAAAACAGCATTCAAAAGAGTGGTGCACCAGGCAGCAGAGGTGCAGAGCAGGTGCAGCAGAACCTAAGGATCAGATAGGAGCAACAGCCAAAGTCACAGCTGAGGCTGGAAGTGTCAATATTGCCCTCGCAGGAGCTGACCCATCAGCCAGGAGAAGACAACGGGAATTAAGGAGTCAACCACATCAGCTGACACAACCCAGTGGTCACTTGTAGACATGCCACACAGTAGGTGTCCTTCCAAACACACGAGGGACACATACTAAGGGGGACCAAAGGCTGCATCATAAACTGAGCCTCAGCACATTTGAAAGAATTGAAATCCCATAGAATGTGCTCTCTGACCACATGGGATCAAACTAGAAATCAGTGTGGAACAATAATGGGGAATTGTTGTCCACACACTTGGAGACTAGACACATACACAAAAAAATCTAAACAATCCGTGGGTCAAAGAGAAAGTCTCAAGGTAAATAAAGAATACATTGGGCTGATTTCAAAGGAAAATACAAGATGTGAAGATGTGTGATACGCGAATCAGCCAAATCAGGGCCAAGAGGGGCATTCATAGCACTAAAGTTACACATCCGAAAAGAGACAGAGTCAAAAGTCAACCACATCAGCTCCTGCTTCAAGAACCTAGAAAAAGAAACCCAAATAAACCCAAAGTGAGAAAAAATAAATAAATAAGAAAGGGCAGAAGTCAGTTAAATTGAAAATGGAGTCTAGTATAGTGACACATGCCTATAACCCCAACAACTCGGGAGGCTGAGACAGGAGGATTGAAAGTTTGGCAACTGAATGAGACCCTCAGC